TGCACGGAAAAACAATCAGATCACGATACATGCAAATATAGTACAAGTATCACTATTAATAGCGACATTTCCTCCACAGTTCTGTGCACCTTTTGTTCGATGGCTTCTAAAGCATTCAGTTCAGTTCCTTTGATATTTCAAATCGATGTGCAGATCGATCTAGAATACTTATGTAGATGGATGGATACGTTAGTGTATAATAGTCGATTGTTTAAAATCACAGAAAAAGAAACAATTGACAAAATGTTTTTTTAGTATTTAAGAAAATTCAGTGAATTTGTTTTTCTTTTTGTTTGAAGTAGTTGAATTTCCTGTTGATTTCTCCTACTCGTTCCGCTGCTTGGTTCTCATTGGTTTAGCCGTTTACGTTTCTTAATCTTCAGTTCATCCCTATGACCAGTCCGTAATAGTTCAGTGTTTCATTATCTTAGCTGAACTATATATTTTAAGTCAAACTTACTCTCTGTTATTTTGTCTTCATTTTTTGACACTAACATTTCAGTGCACAATCACGTACTAGTACTCAGAGCTATAGAAATACAACTACACTAAGATATCATGTCYAAAGCTTCTTCATGCATTGTAAATTTGAAACTGAGAATTGCAGTTCTTTGAACTTGGGCTTTTTATCTATGTCCTAGGAAACCGACTGCACAGTGTTTCAAGGAAAAATTGTGCATAAGAATAAAATAAATGTAATGATCATTAAAAAAGTAATAGTTCTTTAGTTTTCGTACTTCTTAGCAGAGAATGTGTGGGTCAAATGGCTGTTTTATCTTCGATATGGTGCAATCTGTTCTCTTTCATAACCTCAAAATTATTCAATTAACCTTATTTCGTAAATATAGTTTAAAAAAATGAATAAATAAACTTAACGGCAAGAGGACAACAAGTCTTGTTATATGCCGTTGATCGATCACTGACCTGTTTTGAATAGACCGAATCAAGGTTAATGAAGGGGTGCGACTGGACTGGGGCGAGCACGCGTCCAACCATACATTCTCCTGCAAAAATTCGTAAAAGTTCTTTATGTCGACTTTATTTAGCTTGCAAGGTTAAGTTTCGCCTTTAAATTCGGATTACTAGCATCTTGTATTGATATCAATTCATATCTATGTCGAAACAAGCCACAGAAACAATGGAACATTGAAATGTTGAATATGATGGCTCATCAAAGGGTATTAAGTCCGTTAGACTTTTAGCCACAATTTGAGCGTTGAATAGCTTAAACTGCTCGTCTTGATTCAAAAACACCTCTCGTGTCGAAACCTGTTGCTGTTAAATGAAACAGGAAAAAATATGGCCTTGTGACTCTAAGAGTGATAATTTCAATCCTTCACAACGAAGAACAAAGAAAAATTACCATTCGGTCTCTTTAGTAGCGAGCAATTGCAGAGGAGAAAAAGGAATTCGTCCAATAATGCGCAAATTTTACCAGAGGTTTCACAGTACTAAACACTCTCGTCAAAGTCGCCCTAATATCAAACACGCCTCTACAAAATAAAGTGCACTTGAGGCATTTCGTGAGAAGAAATCGTTCATTTAGACTTTGAGTGAAAGGTTTATACAACACGGTTCATTACAGTTATTTTAATAATTATTAGAGGATATAATAATTAGGTATCAATTAAGGACAAGTGATATATGAATGACCGCGAAAAAAGGAATAAAAAATAGGAAGACGGAAAATCCATTAAAACAAAGTATTGCACTCGTAACACACAAAATGCACCGGATGTCAAAGCTCTTAGAGTGATACCGAAACGAATGAGCACGAGAAAGAGTTATAGGTAAAGCAAACTTCGTCTTAAAAAAGATGATGATTGAAAAGCGGGAAGCCATGCATGATACACCATGCCTCGTAGTTTTTACCCTATAGATTTCTATTTCAATGCATAGAGTGCACACTAAAAACAAAATTTATAAAAAAGAAAATATAAACTTGTGTTCCAAATGCATGTCATCTCTAATTTCTTAATTGGAAAGGTTTCAAACTAAAAGTATCCAAACAAGGGCTACCTAAACAGGATGTTCAACGCTTGAACAAACGCAAATTGAAAACATCATTAGTCCGTCCAACCGTCCAAAGTATTGTATTTCCTCGTGTTCAGGCATTTCCGTTGACGTAAAGCGGCTCTATATTGGGCGATGATCTTATAAACCGTTAGAATCATGAAAATAATCTATTTATACACCAAGTCTTTGTCCGCTAGACGTCCTTCGAGAAAAGCACCTCTAAGCCCAAGGTTTGTATATGAAATTTGAGTTGTTGATGAAAGTGRAATATTTCTCTTATATTTATTTTTCATCTGACTAACATCAACTTTTTGTAACGTGACTAATCTGCAAACTGTAGTTGCAAAAGACTATAGTGCTTTACACAGAACTGCCATTTCTTGACCTCTCGGATTATGGAATGCGAAGATCCAAGTC